CTCCTAAAAAATGGCTTACCCTGTACAAGGGCAACAACAGCAGGCAATAGCTCTCTCCTCTGCCTCACAGCAGTGGGTCAAACACACGTTTGATGGACATGCACCACCGTCTGCAGGCCAGCACAAATTGGTCTCCAAAATGCACCACATGGGTTCGTTTAAAGCAGGTTGCAAGGGCAACTCATTAGAGAGTCCACAACATAACTAAAATGTTCTGTTACTTTTAATTAAGCTCATCACACTGGCAAATCTGCTGAATCCAGGGTTGTCACTGGGATTCCTGTGTTTTTTGTTTTGCTTTTAAGCAAAAAACAACAAACCAAATTGCAAACCAGCAAGTAGCTAAGCCAGCCTGGTGAGCTTCCCCTCAAGCTCCTGCAGTTTGCAGTGAGCTCTGCAGAAGCCCATCTCAGCACTGAATACTGGATATTGTTTCCAGTTGATCATGCAGGGAATCAAGACAACAGATTACCAGGACAGAAGCCCTGCGTGTCAACACTGTCCTCTACTGCAGGACTGGCTTTCACACAAAGGACATGTGAACTGCAAACAAGGGACACAAAAGATGTGAGACAGCAACTTTAGACAGGGTATGTTTTGCACTGACCAACTGCAAAGGCAGCCTTTTTAAAACCAGTTTCCATCTCTGTATGTATCATGCTGCTATACAAATTACAAAGATAAGGAACATTTATTTTCTCAGACACACATCCATAACACAGACGTGAAAGCACCAGCTACAAAAATGCAATAGAAAATGTAGGCCACATTCAAAAATGTTATCAAGAGTATGCAGAGTATACCATATCATACCTCTACAATAAGCTTTGCTTTCATGAAAATGAATTAGAACCAGATTTCAAGTACTGCTTTTCATTTCTGTTGTCTCAGCTTTTTGGTGTCACATCTGAGACAGCTTGGCCCTGATATTTATAAGCACTGATCACCTCCAGCATGACCACCATGATCACTAACTGCCCACTGAAATGAAGCCTTTGATTTCTCAAGTCAGTGCCTGAAAATTGTGGTAACCAAATTGAGTTGCTGCTGTAGAAAAATATAACTCCTCTAGAAATCTAGCTTCTCTGGCAAATAAAAATGCAGTTCATCTGTTCTGCAGTCAGCAAAGCGTTCAGGCAGATAAAGGCAGCAGAAAGCCACCTTCCTCCTCTACTACCTTCTTCAAGATGGATGCAGCCAATCAGTAGCACAACTGAAAGCAGCCTTTGGGTTGTGTTGGGTGATGTGTACTGAAATGACTTGCTGAGACATGGAAGCCCACACTGGAGCACACTGCTGGGCCACACAGAGGCACACAGAGACTTGGCTTCACCCAGCCCATTGCTGAGTTCCATCCCTGGCAGCTTTGGTTGGAATCAGTTAGTTGGTACCTGCTCTGTGGGGGAGACTGTCCCCAGACAGGTATGGAAAGTCCTTGTCCAGGGGAGGGGAGAGGTGTGCAATTGTAAGGCCATAATCTGCCTGAAAAAACAGGCAACTACTGCAGGTATACCTATAATCTCCAAGGAAAGAGCCACCAGAGACAACAGTAATTCTCCACTGGTGGTAGCAATGAAGGGTGATCACGGTAAGAGCCTTAGGCAAACCACTGCAAGCAGATTTTCATATACTTTTTTTTGTTGATTTTCATGCTAAGTGGGATTTGACATAAGGAAACAATTTCACACATTAGTTTCAGAGCAAAAGTTTCATTTTACTCCCTGAAGTAGAATAGCGATTGCTCAAACCGTGTATTTTCCAATACATGGCCCAGCTACAGACCAGCAAAATGTTCACAGGCATCACTCCAGCATCTCTCAATTTTCTTTCTCACTTCTCTCAATCCCTCCTATTTTTGCCTTCAGGAATTTCAATACACTAGTATTGCTTCTGGATTTTATCATCTATATTTGAAGATGTTTTTGTACAATGAAGAAGCATGTTTAGAATAAGGAATTCTCAAAAGTTTATTAAGGGAGACAAGATCACAGCAGATACAAAAGTCAATTCAGAATATACTTAATCTTGTGGTATGAAAAGCTGAAAAAAGAAGATGAGCCCCTTTTACTTGGCAAAAAATAAGCCTCTTGCCTCCACCTTTTACACATTCTTTAGGCCAAGCTCCAGGGCCTGACTACACACCTGACTATCACCGGAAAAGGTGTTTTCCAGAAGACTGAACAGAAGGAGAACATTTTGTTTTAGAAAATGAGGGGGATAAGCATCTGTCACAGATAAACAGCAGGGGACGGGGATACAAAAGTCCTACAGTCCTGTATCAGCGGCTCTAACGTCAGATGTGTTAGAGCCTCTTTCAGCTACCCTGAATCAAATCCAACTCCTACTCTCTTCTACTGGATGATTATGAGAAATTTGAGGCCTTCCACGCTTATACCATGCAAAGTCGTGACTACACAGGTAAGTAAACTATTGCCCTGAGGAAATCAAATCACAGATTTCTAGCCATCAGTTTTTGCAGCTCCCAGATAACAAACAGGGATTGAGCTGGGCCCCTAAGCTTTTGTGCTGCACCTGCAGAATGGGAGTCCTTCATGAAATAGATTTTTATTTCTGTACTATTTTCTCTTAAGAACATAGAGTATATAATCGTAAGTGACGTCTTGCTATACCTCACTATGAAAAGTGAAACAAAGGCCCCAAAGATCTTATAAAAATTAAAGCAAGACAAACTGTCCTCCAAATCCTCAGAAAACAAGAAAACATTGGAACAGAGAAACATAGTCCATTTGGATCCTATGTTGCTGCAGCACCAGGTATTTTTGTTCTGATGGAAACTGATGGTTATAATGTCAGACACAACTCCTCAACAGCATGAATTGTAGCCTGAAGTAACTGCATCACTGTGTGTAACTGCATGATGTTTACTGAATTTCTGCATGTTGATGTGTCTGGATGTTGAACACCTAATAATTTGAGTGCAGTGGATCCCGTTTAATATAACCTTTCAAACCTTCAAACTGTGCCTTTGTTTCAAGAGACTTAAAAATGCAAATGTGGTTTTGAGGAGCTACCTTCTAATTATTCAGCCAAAATAGTTTGTTTTGAACAGGTACAAGTTTTCTGATGGGACTGTACTAAGATGTAAACATAACCTCATTATACATTAACATCATTTCAAAGCATTCAATGTACCCATTACACAAGACTGTTCCGTGATATAAGAAGAAACACCTTCTATTATTTCTTCTTGCTTTTCTTACAAAGGGATATGCTAGGGCTTGGAGATACACAGTGATTGCTTCTGGAATAGAGCACAAAAAACTACAGCATATAAGTTACTTCAAGCAATTGATAACAGGCCATTTTTCACACCGCACTACCAAATATAAATGGAAGTGCATGTTCTGTAAGCCACTGGATATTTTATATCCATTGACTCCTTTGCCCCTTCACAGCTCTTCCAGCAAACTAAAATTAAAGACATTCCACACTAAAAAGATTACACAGGAAAAGACACAGATAATAATATAGCTGCTCAGCTGCTAGCGCTACAGAAGCCAGAGCTCAGTGCTAGTTGTCATATTAACAATACTTTACTGGTAAATACTTAGGCAATAAGATTGGTTTATCACCTCTACATTATCTAGCATGAAACCCACTGGCATCTGGGTACTTGCTGGTGCTGTTTTGCAGCTGTGGCATGGCATTTACTAAGGAGATTTGTCTTAGTGCGTGTTGCGAGTTGTACTGCTAGTTTGAACTCACTTGTCCCCTTTTTCCAACTAATGGCATGCTTTGCCTTGGTTGTATTTTTCATACAGAGGTCACTGGATCTCATTTGGTCCCCACCTGATGACAGATTGAAAGCAGAAATTTTCCTAACATACTGCTTTCTCTTGGTGTGACAAAAGTGAGGGGACGTGCCTGTGGGATAACATCCCGACTATTAGCAAATCCTTTCACTCGACAGAGTAGGAAGGAATCCTTTCACTCACACTTCCTGAGTAGGAAGATCTTGAGACAAGGGTGCACTTCATAGAGACTCCCTGCTGTGAACACAGCAGTGAAGAAACCCAGTTAGATGACTCGATACCAGCCATAGGTGATTGATGCACATGGTCCTCACCAGAACACTTAAACACCATAGATGTTAGTACACATGGAGGTGGGCAACCATTATTATTCACTTTACAAGTGGTGAATTAAAACAGAGAGAGAGATCACTGCTTGTCTAAAGTCAGCCTAGAGGCTCTTGGCAAAGCAAGGGACAGCAGCTAAGACTCCCAGCTGTGGACACAGCAGAGTCCCTCTGCCTGATGGGTGGCAGGAGCACAGCTGCAATAGGCACCATACCAAAATGCCTGTTGCATGGGTTCAGCAGTTGCCAGGCACCCAGGTGGAAGGGATGACCTCATTCCATTTGTTCAAAGTGAGATTTGTGCAAAATACTTATGTTCTTGTTCGCAATTTTAGGTATATTTACTGAAAGGAACATAATCTTGTCAAAATGACATTTTTCTCATCAACTTCATGATGTTTACATCACTGAGTTGTATACATATTTACATCACTACGTTGCACAGCCACTTGGCAAGTAGTCATATATACAGTCACTGAGACAGCTAGGAACTACAGATACTACATTCTGAATTATGAAATTGTAAGTACCTCTATGGATTTTAAGCCTATGCTTCCCAGCTGCTCCAAGAAATGTAACTCTCATGATCCTTAAGCAGCAGATTATACTGGTAGTAGACAGTGTTTTTATTTAATATGGCTCCCAGCTAAAACAGTAGTGGGGGGTAACTTTCCCTACAGATTTTAAGTAGAATTTAGCTGCCAAAAATAACATTAAAAAGAAAAAAGAAAGAAATCACAGCAATTCATTGTAAAAGGAAAGAGATGTTAATGGTCTGAAATCAAGCAACCTAAATAAGGGCTGAAATCTCAGTTCTAGTCCTTCACACTTTCTCTTCCCCTTTAATCTTGGGCAAGCTGCAACCCCTCCCTGTAAAGCAGGAGTAATTATATTTACTTACTTTGCATGAAGAACTGGGTAACACTCAAGGGGCGCCACGCCATGCCAGCCAAAATGGTTCTGAAAGCCAGTCAGAGTGGAAGGTGGAAGAGGTCCTGGAGATCTCTGCTCCAGGACCCTGTTTGCCTGCTCTTCCCTTCAGCCATAAGCTGGATTCCAAGCTTCAGTAGGGCTTGTTTGATGGGAGACTGTAATCCAACCTTGTGAACAATAAAAAGTAACAGGAGTTCAAACCTTTTACCAGCTGGAAAAGATTGAGTCAGCTGCAGCTTAGTTAAAAACCCTTGCCTCAAGGCCTTAACGACCAGCACCTGTGAATGGTAAATGCAAGACAAGCCTGCTGGGAAAGAAAAAGTCCTGCAACAGGGAACCCAATACCAAAGACACTTGTTTTCTTGGGGAAAGAATCTCCTGAGGAGCTGTATGGCTGCTAGCAAGGTAACAGCAACGATCCTTGCCATTTCAAACCAATTTATAGGCTCTCACAAAAGCCCAGGTATTTTTAGCCATTGAGACAAACACCTCAGTCTTCCATGTACCTGTGGGGGGAAAAAACATCTGGGAAAAGATGTGTTGTTTCAGCATGACAAGCAGTTTATTTCAAAATTGTACCATTTTTAGTTCTATTTGTAAATCTTTGTAAGAGTTACAAAACAAGACAGTTTCAATGACTCAGCGCATCCATTTTTATGTTACTACAATGATAAACAACAGTATGCTGTGTTTTGGGGGGAATATGTCACTGAAGCACACACAATTCAAAGATCATTGAATATGTTTCGCTTCCAGCCTCTGAAAGCTCTGCATGTGAACCAAGCATGCAAATTTTCAGCCTGCATGTACCTGCCAAAATTGTAAGCACCTAAATAATAAGGAGTCTGTGGTGACAGTGATGCAACCCGTACCTATCTGTGCTATAAACAGTAAGCAAACTGAGTTAGGATTGTAGTAGATGCTCCATCCCTGGAGACATTCAAGGCCAGGCTGGATGTGGTTCTGGGCAACCTTATCTAGTTGAAGATGTTCCTGCTTACTGCAGGGGATTGGACTAGATGAGCTTTGAAGGACTCTTCTAACCTAAAGTATCCTATGATTCTATTCCTAAATTCTCCTCTTATATATATATATGTATGTGCAGTGATGAAATGAAGACAGTTATAACCTCAGGCTGAAAACAGAAGGTGGAATTTGAACACTTTGATTCAATGGACCTGGCTGATGACAACTGGTCATATGCAGACACGATTCAAATCCACTCCAGCATGCCATGTTCGGTTTGCTGCCTGATGCTTACAAAATGCTCCTCATGTAATGAAACAGTAGGTCCAAGTTAATTTCCAGAAGCATGACGATGCCCACAATGGAGGTAGCAGTGCCAGCACCAAGTGCCCTGTTTCAAAGCCTTCCAAATTCCTCTGAATCCTCTCTCTGCTGCTGTTTTGCACATCCAGTACTTTTGCCCCCAAACACATTGGTCTGCACCCAGACTCTGCTCAGGGACACACACCAGTCCCTGGTAAGACAAAACTGCATGCAATGTAGGCAGCAATGCCTGCCACTACAGGCTTTCCTCCTTGCCTTTCATCCTTGCAGCAGTTGACCTTGCATGCTGCCTTCCCCCATCACGCCCTCACACCTCACCCTGCGGCTACACAAAATCTCACAGTTACTGGACTGTGAAATAGCTCTTTTTTTCTTTTTGTGTCTCCTTGATGAGCTGTTATGCAGGCAAGAGAGGAGGAGGGGAGGGAGAGGCTGTGCCTGTGCCAGTGAGAGCTGCACTTGCTCTCCTGGCCTTGGTGATGGAAACGTTTCCCAGCAGAGGGAGAGAATGAGCAGACCATAGGCCAGCCCCACTTGAACCTCCGACTAACACAGGGACCCATGAAAGGAGAGAGCTGCGTGAATCTGCATGCCCAGCCCAGGAACAGGCATGTACCACCACCTCTTTGTGCAGCAGCAAGTCTCCAAGACCTGGTGAAGCTGAGGACAGTGCTCCACATGTGGAGTCAGCTCTCCTGCTCCTTCCCATCCCATTTACTTTGTCCACCTGGGTAGCTAAGGGCAGGGGAAGGGCCTTTTCCACCACTGCTCACCTTATGTTCTGCCCTTCCCCAGGAGAGAGGAAGTGCTGGCTGTGTACCCCAAGATAATGGACACAACTATGTCTAGGCAGTGCCTTACCCACGAGAATGATGCTACCTTCAGGACCTGGGGAGGAGGAGGAAGAATGCCGTGCTTACTTTCTCTCCATTTCCCTCCCGTGAGACTGCTTTCTCTCTGGTTCCCAGGCTGGATTACATAGCCCCATACAAATGGTTCCTCCCAGAGGGATGCTATTGGTGTCCTGGGTGGGAGAGCACAGCTCCCTGCAGAAAGCAGAAGGCAGGATTAATGACCTTTTCTTGCCTAATTAGTTGAAAGTTTAGGTATCTGGTTTTGACAGAGTAGAAAAAACTTCAAGCTTCTGTTCTGTATCTGATGCTGAACAGAGGCCTTATGTCTACAGGGATTTTAGTCTAGCACTTTTGATAAGCCCTACATTCACCCCCAATAAATATATATCTTTGCTCCTGTAGAAATCATTCTAAAAGGAACTTTGAGGAAACCTTTGATAACTCTTCCCTTGCTTAAAAACATCCCCTTTGGTTGACAGGGTGATATCAAGACTTCAAATTGGAGCTGGTGAAATGTTCAGATCAAAAAGGATGAATTTATCTTAACAGTAATCTATATCTGCTATGTCAGACACTGTGCTGCAGCATGTCCTGCTGTGTGCAGTATGCCACTTATAAAGCAATGATAAACCTTTCTAGATAGTGCCTAACGCAGAGTGTTTACCAGAATATAGATTGCTGTGAGATATAGTTAAAAGTTGCTCAGAAATGAGAGATCAGGGAGGATGACCATTTGTGAAGAGGTCAGTGATGCCTTTTTGTTGGATCTTGGGTTTGGTTCCTTTTTTTTTTCTTTGCCAGCAGCATCTAAGTGCAGTAAATATCAGAGTGAGAAAGAATTGCTATAGCAACAAAGTATATTCTCCTAATGGAGACTGTAACAGCCAACCTCCACTACAACTTTAAGGGGAAGGAATAAAATCCATCACAAAAGCAGGAAAAGTAAAGGCATTAAAAATTAAGATTTTACTGTTCCATGATTTATGTTCTTATCTCCAGATGATCCACAGCACTTTCAGTACTTCCCTGCTCCTGTTCACTGCTTCACACAAGAATTTTCAGGAATTTAGAAAAACAGTGGTGGGCATGATCTATTAGTAGTAATATAATGATACAGATTTGCATTAAACAGTAGTATTATCACTACAACTATGAGAAATTATGAGATTATAGCAGCACTGGGAGACCATAGGTAAGACAGCAGGACACAGGATGCCAATACACAGCCAGAGGCCATTCTTCCTGTCAAGATTTACAGTGATTAAAAATAAGAGTGAGGGGAAACTGTCACAGAGAGATGAAGATGGACAAGTTCAGGGTCACTCAGCCACTGTCAGTGCCAGGACCAGAATGCAGGTCTCTGGTGCTCCTCTCACTGCATATTAGCTATTTAATCTGTCCAGAAAGCTATTTCAATATTCTTGTGCAATACAACCATCACATACCTTAGGATGGACTATGGAGAAACCAGCAGTGCTATTGTTAAACTGTCCTAGATAACTACTGCACCCATGCTTCATCACTGGCCATCATCCTCACTGAGGCACTAAGACCATGTTTCCTTTCCCTCCTGCTTCTCTGTGGCTCAGATTGTGGTACCAGTCACACCAAGGAAAAGAAGGACTGCAAAACAGGGGCAAGCTTCTGCCTTTTACAACTGTTACACAGGATATCTGGAGAAAGATGAAAGAGAAGACAGGCTAACAAATCTAATTTCACATCACAACTAGTTTTCTCCTCTGCTTCTGGCACGATGAAGCTTCAAACACCTTCAAAGATGTTTCATGCAGGTGGAAACAGCCCTTATCCTGTGTGGTAATGCTATCTCATGCTGGTCCTCAAATTATAGTCTAGGTTGAGAGAAATTCCTTCTTCTGTAGGTTATTAAACTGAAATGCTGCATTAAGTTCTGTGGCAAAGCTGGAGGAAGGAGCAGTAAGTTCTGAAGAGTCCTGCAAGTCCAGCAAGTCCTGTAGAGTTTACTAGATGTTCTTTAAGGTCCCTTCCAACCCTAACCATTCTATGATTCTATGAGTCCTCCTACCCTGGTTGAGTCTTTGGTTACTCAGGACAGGGAACAGCAGCAGTATGCACCAAAGGAGGCAAACTGAAAAGCTCTTTTCAGATAATTTCTCCCCACAGAGAAAACATTTTCTGGCATATCTTTGCAATGCAGCTCGCTATACAGATGTCCTATTTATAACTCACAAGTCTCCATCACAAGCAAGCTTCTCAGAGGTAGAAAAGCGCATATGATTTGAATAGAGCTGTATATCACAGTTCCATGTTCCCACTCTGGCTATGATTTATAACAAAAGTGTAGCAGCATGGGTCAGTAAGTGACACTGAAGCAAAGAAAACTGAACAAGTTTAAGCTTCCTTATGTGTATGAAAGACATTTTTTGTTTAAACTTAAAGTTTCAAAAAGTGTTTCATGCTCACATCCTACCAGCCTAAGCAGCAAGTCTTCCTCATTTTACAACACAGTTTCTGCTAATCAGTTCCTCCTCTAATATTCTTAAACAAGGCATTGTGTCAGATAATAGTGAGAAAAAGAAAATATGACTAACCCACAACCAAGGATATGAATTATGTCAAAATATAGAATGAAAAAGTTTAGATATTTACCATCTGTGAAAAACAAACACTGGAGTTTCCCACAGACAGCAGAAGTCATCTGAGGTTAAAGTCATGCCAGTGAGAATCAGCCCAGGCAGACCAGACAGCAGCTCCTTGGGTGGGAAAGGGCAGAGAGAGAAGGCAGACATGCACTCTTCCCATGACTGCTCTCCTAAACCTAAGGCAAAACGTGCTGCATCATTTTTTTTGATGGACTGAGAGGAAACTGGCAACCTTCTCATTTGAAATCTCAGAGACAATGGAAACCCAGCAGGTAAACCTGGTTTTGTGTACACTATACAGGCTGCAGCCAACCAGTGACATCCAAATGATAGTGGAGCCTAATTTCTTCACCAACATGAATGCACAACAGGCAAGAGAGCAAGGTTCAGAAAATGAAGGGC